GGGCTGGGATACTGCCAGGGCGCCCACACCTAGACAGGAGGACGATTAGGGTCCTCAACCAAAGACTTTGGCTCAAAAGCCTAACCGCAAGGCAGCGGTGTTTGGCGGGAAATGCAAATGCATTGCCATTTCTACGGAACAAGTCGCCACATGTTCCAACTCCCAACCTGGAGGGCCAGGGGACTGTGTTCGTCTGACCTCTAACCATTGACCAACCTGGTATGAGAGACTCTGTGAGTGTCGCGCGGACACCCCCCAGTGTAGCTCAATGGGTCGCCGAGGTACACAAACCGCCACACCACGATAAGGTCCAGTCTCTTCGTGTCGGATCCCCGGGGGCCGAGACGCTCCAAGGACGTCCGCTCACAGACGTCGAGCGAGCGGATGATATTGCTCTTCTTGGTTCAGATTCTTCGGAAGTGCAAGCCATTCCAAGTAACCTAAATAATTCTAACACAGTTTCACATTCACTACGCACCTGCAAAGTGTACAGTGCTGCGACAAGATTGTACACGACCAAACCCGAAACCTCATGCTTGCAGAGAACTGATCCAAATGGTGCATAAAGTGGTTTGTCTTGGCAGTTGTGCAAATTTCGGTGGACTGGCCAGAGATGAGATTACTTCTGGAATCAGGAAGGCTGGGGTAGCTGTTGTTAATATCCGACACTTATAGTGCCAACGTGACGTAAATTTGTCAAGGGAAGAGTTCACATTGCGGCAGTGCGATCCATACTGCTGTATTGATCACACGCATAAATTTGCTGGTGTTTGACAATCTGTGCCTTAGAAACATCCGTCCAGTATGGTGGGAAAACCAGATTAGCGATGATGAGGTATGCCAGATGGCTCTGGAAGGAACTCTCTTGCGACGGATGATTTCCTCATGCTTTTTACCGTGACGCTGGTTAGAACATCTGCACCACATGCTTTCTCCGCCCCACCCTGTGCTGAGTGGAAGTGACCGAGAGATGGACAGTGTATGAACTGGCACCGAGGTATGAAAAGACTAACCAGCAAACTGAGGCCGATCGACAACTGCAGCCCCCAGGATGGGAACCCTGGCAGAAATGGCCCAATCGCACAGTTAGTAGCGCCCGAGCACCTAATCCATAAGCCTTCAATAGGTAGCTACTCAGTTTCCGAACTAAGTGAACATACTACCGTCTCCAGTGTTGGGATACATGTCCCACAATCTCCCCCTATCCGGTGATTGAAACCGTACCATCTGGAACCAACGCCAAAGTGGCACACTGTTTCTAACCAATAAGTTGAACTGAATCATTCATTCCAGTTGGCACCCAAGACTTCAAACATTACGGAATGAAAATGACACCTGACGACACTAATATCGATTAGCATCCAGGTCTTACAGCGTTTCCAACCATGCACAGGGTTTTCACCGTCACGAAGAGACTGGACCTTACCGTGGTGTGACGGTTTGCGCACCTCA